AACTTACACTTTGTAGCGGTGATTCATGGTTTTCACAGTCTGTAGAATCCTTATGTCAGGAATTGCCTGTGGAGCCGAAGGAAGCCAAGAAGAACGGAAAGCTTCAGGTACCTGGTTAGCACGGATTGGCCGGGGGGGAGGAGTCCATGAGCCCTAGAAAGTGTCTGTTTTAGCCAAAGAACCTGCACTTTGTAGTAGTGATGCATGGTTTTCACAGTCTGTAGAAATCACATCTCAGGAATCTTCCGCGGAGCTGAAGAAAGCCGCGGAGAGCAAGAAGTTTCAGGATCCTGATGGGCACAGAATACTACAGACATGTATATATAGGTTTTAAATCAAGAACACAGCCGTCAGATGCCAGTAGGATAAACATGGGTCAGGCATCCAAGTTCATCGAGTTACTTTACAGATTGCTTTGGACTATAGTTGGTTGTTTTAAGGCGGACTGTTTTCAGGATATGAGGTGTTCAGAGGCTGCTTAAGAATAAAGCCTAGCAAACAGATGCAAAAAAGACTGAGGGCTTTATTAGTGGCTTTATTATGTACAATTGAGCTTACACTGCTTAGTGCTCATGTGTGGCCAACCCTTTTTGTAGAAGCCTATATCTCAGGACTTTGCACCGGAGCAAGAGACAACGCCTTGTGAAGCACTTGGTTCCTTGCCTCCGCTGCCTCCTCCTACAGGCCCACCAGACGCTGCTTTGACTACATTTATGTACATATATATATATATATTATAGGTGCGTATATATATATATATAGGTATGTATTTTTTCACATGGATGTGATTTGTGATTATGGTTTGTGGTTGATTGCTGTTTGGTGTTGTTTTTGTAGTGCTTGGGTATGGGCACAGTCATTTTGTAGGAGCATATCCTAGGATATGCCTGGAGAAAGTGGCTGTGACACGCCTCTATCTGAATTCAATTTTCCAGAACTCCCTGACTACCCTTCTCCGGTGAAGCTGACAGAGGGCATCCGGCGTTGGGAAGAGAGTGATGAGGAGTTTTCTGTTCCTGTGGTGCCGACGGCGGGCGCTATTCTCTCGGAAGCTTCTGAACAGGGCATCAATGTTTTTCAATGTGTTTCATTGAATAGATTTAACAACCCGTACTCGCGTATTGTAGTTACAGTATTGTTTCACTTGTTTGTCATTTTGTAGGGACCATATCTCAGGAAGCTGCTGAAGACAGGGCTG